CCCCCACACTGTCTCCTGGCCAACCTCCTGAATGCCCATGGCCAAGGGAAGCAACTGTTCTCAACTGCAGAGTGGGGTTCTTCATTTTGTTAATTACCAGTGGGGCACAAACATCTGGGGAAGAGACCCAAGGCCATCTTGGCTGTGGGGGGAAAGGGGAAGGCTGGCAGAAAGATCTCCATGGAGGGCAGGCTGGGGCAGGGAAGGAGGCAGGCTTCTGAGGAGTTGCCCCAGAACCTCACTGCTAAGGCAGCACCATCCCAGGGAGTAGCTCGCGGTGCACAAGTTAGGGTTTCTTGTTTTCTATTGAAGTTCCTAGCCTTGACAAGAGGCACCAAGAAATTCATCCCCATGCTTAGATCAAAGCTGCTGAAGAGAAGCAGTAGGACTGGGGGCTGCCTGGAGAGGGTGGCATCACTGGAAGTAAGAGAACCCAAGAGAAGCGGGCAAGGGGCAGGGGCTTGCATTCTGCACTTGCTGAGTGTACCTCAGGTTTTGTCTTTAAGCACACTCAAATTCAGTCACTGTCTTAACCTTTTAATAGACCTGTGCCTTAGCTCCCTAAGCTGTAAAATGGGGATAATGATGCCTGCATTACAGGATATGAGAATTACAAGAGTTGATGGGTGAAGCGCTTAGAACAGTGTCTTTCATGAAATAATCCCTGTATCCTTAGAGTAATACTATAAGCTCTCATTTAGGGAGATGATGCAGGTTGGTGGTTAAAGGCACAGATTCTTAATTCAACCTGCTTTGGTTTGAACCTTGGCTTTGCCACTTACTACTGTGACCTTGGGCAAAGACTTCTCAGGGTCTGCTTTTTTCCTATGGAGGGCTATTATGAGAATAAACAAATTAACACATTTAACAGTCTTTAATGCATATTGTGTTAGCTATGAAGGCATATTAGGCATTATCTGTCCCTTCCTCTCTTTGTTCACCACAAGTGGCCCAACAAGATGTGGAACTTCTTTCTCAGTGGCAGTGCTCCAGAGACGTCAAGAAACTGAGCTCAGGCCCTCTTACCCGCAACAAGTACCTTGCCAAGGCTGCTTGGCCAGCATCCCCCTTTGTGCATTCAACTTTCCCACGCAACATGCCGGGCACTTGTGGGAAAAGGCTTCCTTTTCCATCCCTGACCTTGGAGGACCAGGAATTATTACTTAGTTAACCCCCGTTCTATTTTCATGAGACCTGTCTTTCTCCTAAGTGGAGAAGGAAACTGTGAGGTGATAGAAGATATTTTGAATAAAATAATAGAAGAAAAAAATAAAAGAAGAAAGCCACACATTCATATACCACTTACTTGGGCTCAAGCTGCCACGGGCTTTCAAAGTCTCAAAGCCACAATTGAAAATAGTACTTTTAACTTTAAAAACATCAAAGGTCAATATTGAATCTTAGATCATAGAGACTTTAGAACTGTTTTTAACTTGATTTTAATGAATAAGACATTTGTGCACAACCTTCTTAAATTTAAAAAAAGAAAGAAATTCAGTTGACCCTGTTATACAGAAAAGAGAACTCTTTGTTGCACGGAAGAAAAAGTTGTTCCTTTGTATTCCTAAGAAATATATTTGCAGATGTATAAGAGCACCCTCTTTCGGTATCTGAGAACATAGGCGATCCTAAAAATTCAATAGAGATTAGCACATTTTCTATTATAATTTCCTTTCTAAACTGTCTTACAAAAATTTGAAATACTCTAGTTTCTGCCTGTTGTTGTTTGTTTTTGTACTAATCCCAAGCAAAACATATAGCAGAATTGGAAAAACAAAACAAATTGGAAATGTGAAATCAGCAAGAAATGTGATGCCAGCACCACCTAGTGTTGATTCTGAGTAATTCCCACATAGGAAAGTAAAAGGAAAATACTTTACCCCAAAGGCATGTATGTAGTCAACTTCATGTTTGTAAATTAAATGTAGGTCATAATCCTGGAACCAACTCTCCATTTATTGACTAATAAGCCCTTCCTTTTTTCTATTGTTCTCAACAATCTTATAATATCAATTAAGGAAATATTTAAAAAACAAATCCCTTTCACTAGTAGAAATCTAATTTGGTGAAAATTTTATTAAAACAGGAGTATTTGAATGTCTAATATGTCTAAAGTACCATGAGATTCTTTACAAAGCTTCCAAAGTCAATTCCATACACCCTAAGGCTGGGAAAGATGCTTTTCTAATTTCTCGCTCTGCGCAGAATGGTGCCCACAGGGCTCTGTAGCATCCCCACCTAGAGCTTCACGCCCTTCTGCCATCAGGACTGCCCAACATTTTTCGGTGTCCGAAATACATCTAAGGGGAACAGGGAAATCACTTCATGTGCCTATATGGCCCTACTTGTTTGATATTTATAGTTAAGACAGTTCATGACAGCTTGCTGTGCCTCCCACAGAATAGCAGTGTGCTCTTTCCTCATTCAGAGCCAGCCCCTGGGCGGATGTGAATGAGCCAAGTGTGGGTGTGGTGCTGCTCTTCTTTTCAGTGCAGCCTGCATTCCCTTTGCCTCGTTCTGGGTGCTACCTCCCACCCACAAGAGCCACAGGCTCCTTACCAACCTTCCCTTCCTTCAGGGTCTTGCAAATAAATGACAAATTAAGCAGTAACTGTCCTCACCATATAAAATATTTTCTGGAATATGGTAAAATATGATTAATGAAAGTGTGAACGAATAACCATGAAACAGATGAATAAAATTGCTATGCTAAGATATCAGTGCCTCATGATGGCCTGTGGTACTATTCTGCCTATAAACTTTTCAATTTTCCTAGGAATCCTGAGTGGAATTCAGACAAATTTAGTAAGACTGGTGGATGAGAGGTTTTGGACAGAAAGGGTCTTTTGGAGCAAGAGAGACAATGCACATTTACCAGTATTCACTCATTTGATTCTCGTAATTCAGTTTTACACCTTGAAGAAGTTGAAACACAGAGAGTAAAATAACTGAAGTCTATGAGTAAATGGTAGAGCTGTAATTTGATCTTGAGGCATCAGATTCCACATATAAAGCAGGCTAGTGTGCTTTGGTGTCCCTCTGTCTCCAGCCCTCCCTCCTCCTACCCTCCTCTCTGCCCCCTCCGTCCCCTCTTTCCCTCCCTCTCTCCCCTTCTGTCTTCATCTGTCCAAGCCCCCAGAGCCACCGAGGTAGCAAAACTTAAGTGATGCACCATTTCCTTCTGCAAATAGGATACCTCCCCCTGTAGTGACTCACATTCTAAGACCGTTCAAACTTCTAGCCCAGAACACAAAAATATCTCTTGGCAAATGACATAGAATAGCTTCCTTTTGTTCTTCTTTCTTCTCCTTTGTACAGAGTCAAGTTTCCAAATAACTTCTTTATAGCTTTATCGCCCCTTTTTGTCCTGGTCTGACAGTATTAATGAAGACTTTATAGCTATTGACTAAGTCATGCAGCTTGTCAAAAGACAATGGCAAAAGTGGGAACAAAGACTTTATTTAAGGAACTAGACAACTTTGTTGAAATTATCTATGACAAAACACAGGTTCCCCAAAAGAACCTGATTTTTTATAAGTTGGTATGAATTAAATTTTGTCTTTAAACTACTATTGACCTCTTGTTATCCTTTATCTGGATTCCTTCTTTGAAAAAAGAAACCTTATTGTTAGCAAATATTCAACAATCCTGATACCTTGTCTAATGCAAAATACTTACAAATATGTATTTAATGGAACATTTATGTTGCCTTTGAATAAGTGATTTAAGATATACATCATTTGGAATATATGTTATGTAATTATTAGCAATAATGAGGGACCTAGTTTTATTTCTGTTCTTCTAAATAGAGATAATACCTTATAATACTATGACTCAAGAGCTGTTATTTCTTTTTATCTCTTCTACAGTTTCACGGAATAAGGTACTCATTTAATACTGGCTCAAAATTCTGTTTTGTTTCAGTGTCATAAAACACTAATGAGGTGACTCATCACCTGTCAGCAGTTCATTAGCATGATTGAATTGGCACAAATGCAGTAATTACCATGAACTGCCCATTTCTGTCATAGTGTCTTCTCCCAGCAACAATACTTGGGGATGTTTGTGAAATCACAGAGGAAGTCAGAAGATGGCCAGTTTAACAAATCCAACTGTCCACCCCTTCCACCATCAGAGAATAATGGCAGAAACATCTGGAATAAAAATGACCAAAATAGCTACTATTTATTGAATAATTCTTCTTTGTCAGGTATTAGTCAAGTGCTTTACATATGCTACCTCATTTACTATTTCCACTCACTTTGCAAAGTAGGTCCTATTGTTAATACCATTCCAGAGATAAAACTCAGAGAAACATGATCCAAATTGTCTAAAATCGCCGAGCTAGAATTCAAACCTATGTCATCAAAACCCAAAATCCACATGATTAAGAGTTAAACTCTACTGTGGGGTGTCTTCAAGTTAAGCACTACTGACACACGCAGCCGATAATTCTTTTCTGTGTTTGCCCTGTAGACTGCAGAATGCTAAGCAGATTAAAGCATCCCTGGCCTCTGGCCACTAGATGGCAGCAGTGCCTTCTCCCGGGTCTCCTCCCCCAGTTGTGGCAGCCAAAAAGTCTTGAGATGTTGTTGTCTAACGTCCCCTGTGAGGCCCAATTGCCTCTCCCCCTAAGTTGAAAACCAGTTCTCCTCTACACCTCCTCTATACTGATTATATAATATCATGTCATTAAATAACTCTCAGAAATATAATTACAATGGCTATGGTACATTCTCTTTGAGTATTAGATTAGTGCTACTCCTAAAATATGACTTCTGATTATCTTATGAAGGAAAATTTGTATTTGAGAACTTAAAATAATCAGATTCTTCGAACTCTACCCCTTTGGCATACATAAGATATAAAGTTAAACTTCATCAATAAAATAATAAGGAAGTGTTTTAACCGCAAGACTATTCACTTCCTTTTAAAATGTGTTGCCATTTTTGCCTAGTTTACTTTAGAAGATAAACTGAAAGAGACTTGTGTCATTAGTGTTTCTTTAACAGTGAAGTTTATTTGATTACTGTATACAGACATGGCCTAAGTTGACAATCAAATAAAATGTAACTGCATGCATATGTCTCTGATAATGAACATAAATTCATTAGTTTAATTATTTTAAAAATTCAGAATTCCATTATTTTCTTTAAATGTCTAATAAATCAAAATTTACTAGAGCTTTGGTTTTGTTCTTGTTCATTTTAGAATAGAAACTTAAATACATATTAAAAAAACAAGTGTTTTGCTGTTTCTACCTACATCATTCACTATAGATTTAAGCGCCTACTGTTATGTTAGCTTACTTCAGGAAAGATATAAAATTAAGGTCTACACTCCTGAGGAAATTATTTTAGAAACAAGTCATAATACATAAAAGCCCTAAGAATAAGAAAAGACAGTATAAAGCAACTAGTAAAGTATTTAATTCTCATTAAAGAAAAACATACACCCACATCAAAGTTAAAGAAGATAGTGAAATTCATTTAATAATAGATATGTTCCATATAAACAATTTGTCACAAATTTTCCATTTTAAGAGTCCACAGGAAAAAAATCACAGTATGCATAGACTAGAAGCAAAACACATCGGACAAATAATCCTAGAGATGTTTAGGTTGTCAAACTTCTACAATATTTCCAAATCTTTTTAAGGTTTTTTGGGGGAGGCATGATGCATTTTTGACTTTTCACCAAGAAACATCATTTCCTACAAATTCCATCAAGTTTTAAATTAATGGTGTTTGTTTTATATTAACCAAGAAATGGTTTATCCATTACCATAAAAATGCATTGAAAATACATCTGGCTGAGCATGTCCAAAAGGGAACAGTGTATTTTGGGGGGCTTATAGACAATTACATGTATTTAAATGACCATACATTCTTAACCTTTTTCTTGGATGCAATTTGGAAGTATTCTGCCTTTTAATAACCCAAATTGGACATCATGGTTACATTTCAATGAGTAGCATCATACGGAAATTATCTAGTTCACACATGTCGCTTAGGGATGCAGTGTTACCATAGTTACTACCAGACTGAACATCTCGGGAAAGCAGAGCCACTAAGTCTGTCAATGTGCGGCAATACAGCACGTTTGATAGGTTATGAGCCTTCATTTTCCTTCATTCTGAGGCTTTTCCGATGGGCTTTGTGCTGTTTCTTCATCTTTCTTTTTCACATCTAAAAATAAATAAAAATTTTTCATTCAGTTTCAGAATATGTTGACATATATTTCATAGTATATTGGAGTACAACAGTTGGCTCTCCTTTCATGCACTCCAGTCATTTTCTACTTGATTAAGACACAGTTGTTCCTCAGTCCAGACAGAAACTAGACAGAAGGATGAGGGTGGGTTTGGGAATCTGTGTTCTTCTAGTTAACTTTCTCTGCTATTCTTCAGAATTATTATATGCCAGAGAGGCTTCTAAGGTATTCTTACAATTCCTATTCATAATTGGTCCACTGAAACACAAACAGGTTGAGACATGCTCAACATCACAAGCTAGGAAGTGACAGAGCCACGATTTAGACCTGAGCTGCCTTGATCTGTAGTCCACTCCTTTAACCAGCTCTGTGCTGAATCACACTCTTCCTCACACTTCTACCCCCTGTGCTCTTAGGAGATTCTCACTTTCTACTTTGCAGGAAAAAAAGTAATAAATTCAAAGCCATCAAATAAAGCTCCTTCAAAACTCTCTGTCACCAAATCTCCAAACCACTCTGTGCTCTTCCCTCACTCCTTCTGCCGTCCGTCCTCTTACAGTGGCAGATGTGCTCCTCAGGACCGGCTCCATAATCTGATAGAGCCCCATGCAAAGTGAAATACAGCACCACGTGTTCAAAAATTATGGAAAATTTTGAGACAGCAGAAAAAGAACATGAAAGCAAATGTGAATCTCTCTCGAGTCCAGGGTCTCCATGTGCAGGTCGCACACCTTTGGAGCTGGCCCTGCTGCTGCTCACGCTGTCCAGGACTAGTCACTTCATGATCCCGGAGCCTACCCCTGCATCAGGGAGCCGACCCCACAACAGTCATCCCCTACCCACCATTTCATCTGACTTTCTTTCTTCCAATTCCTCATTTCCTCATGTCACTACCAACTTCAAACTAAAAAACAAAAGGCCTTCTTCCAGCTGCAATGCCTCCACTCATTGATCCTTTCTTTTACCCTTTAAAATGCATCATCTTTTATTGTCTCCATTTTAGATTAAAACTATTAAGTCTCTACTAGTTCTCCCAAATTGTTCCCGCCCAAAATCAGTGATGGTGTCTGAAGTAAAATCTGATGGACCCTATGCAGCTCTTCAACTTTCATTTGGGAAAGATTTATTAGGCATATATTACGGGCCAAGCAGTGCAGAAACAAAAACACATTCCAGCTCTCAGGGAGCTTCTAGTGAGAGATTAAGACAATAAACAGAATAGGTTCAATGTGTGGTATGTGAGACATGCTCAGCACTATGTAGAAAATTAAATAGAAATTGCAAGGCAGTCTTTGGACCTAGAGACTGAAATTTTAGATGGGGTCAGGAATGCCTCACCGAGAAGGGGCCCTATAAGTAAAGACCCCAGGAGCCATGTGGCCAGCAAGGAGAAGAGCATTCCAAGCAGAGAGACCAGCAAAGGAAGGTACTGCAAGTGGGACAGTGTGGAGAAAAACGGGGGGAAGATGGGGTCAAAGGTATCAGGAGGCTATATCTTTTAGGTGAAAAATGGCAGATGTCTGGACAACTTTTGAAAGTAGAGCTGCCAATATTTGCTGATGGACTAGTTGTAGAGTTGCAAGAAAGAGGAGCGACAAGGATGATTCCAATATTTTTAGCTTTAGTAACTTTAAGTTTGAAACTGCCATTTACTGAGATGAGGAAGATACAGGAAAAGCAGGTTTGACTGGGGGCACATATCTGGAGTTAACTTTAATATCCATTTAGCTTGAGATTCTTTTTACATATCCAAGCAGAGATATCAAGTAGGCAGTTAGACCAGTAAGTGTGAAGTTCAGAGCTTCAGTCTGGAGATAACAAATCTGTGAGTCACCAGGAGGATGATCATTATCTCAGTGGGACTGAGTGGGTATCACAAAAGAGGGAATGTTGATAGAAAAGATATCAACAGACATCTACTTCATTAAGAGACAGTAGAGATAAGGAAACAAACAGCTGTGAGGAAGCACAGCCAGTGAAACAGGGAGACAACAGGAGAGTGGAGCGTTCTGGAAGCCAAGGGGAGAAGTGCGGAGGGGGAGAAGGAATAATCAAGTATGTGTTAAAGAAGAAACAACAGGCCCGATTGGAGTCATTTGCTCCCCAAACCAACACTTAATTACAGTTTCACCCTTTCCCAGGAATGTGACCTTTTAACAATCAATCAGGAATTTTCTGGTCAGTACCAGTGAGGTAATCCATCACAAGGGTCCTCTCCATCCATCCCCACCTCACAAAGAAGATGAGGAAATCTTATGATAAGATCCCTTGCTCTTTCCCCTAATGGAGGGTGACTTTGTCTGAAACAATCCCTTCCCTTTTGCTAATAACATCTTTCCCACTCTCCTATGTATAAAAACCTTGAATTTTTGTACATCGCCTCATCTCTCCACTTGCTAGATGGGATGCTGCCCATTTCAGGAATTGCTTAAGAAAGGCATAGATCTTCAGATTTACTTGGTTGAGTTTTGTTTTTTTTTAACAAATGATAGAACTGCCAAAGATCAAGTAAGATGAGTATGAAGAACAGACCATTAATTTCAGCAGACAATGTCACCTGCAATCTTGAAACAGCCTGAGGGATGGTGCGGTAGGAGTTAAAAAACAGGACAAAGGATCTGGAAATGTGTCCACCTTCTCCTCTGTAAGAGCTTTTTACTAGTTGCTTGTTTTGCAAAGAATGCTTTTATCTTTGATCTTCTGGTGCCTGGATCTTTTTAAAACATATGTTGCCATTCAGATTTCAGTTAAGGCTTTCCTAATTTTCCAATCTAAAGTAGCCACCAAATAACTCTCTACTACAGCATCCTATTTTAATTCTCTGAGAGAACATACAACTGTTGATGACATATATTTATCTGTTTATAATCTAACTGCCCCATCGGAGATATAAGATCCATGACAGCAAAAATCTGTCTGCCTTATTCACCACTATACTGCTAGTTTTTAGAATGGTGCTTAGAAATCAGTGGATCTAATGATGGATCAAATGAATAGTTAGTGACGGTGGGAGATAAGGAAAGGCACTTTGTGACATTTACTGTTTCCTATGCTGCCACCTTCTCCTACCTCTTACTGATATGTTATAGGGCATCATTGTCCTTCCTACCATGGCTATCAATTTAAATGAGACAGATTAAGATGAATTATGAACTAGAAAAATTTCAAACCGGTTAATTTCATGCAGGATGCAAGACTTTTTGTTATAGTAGGTAGATAGCTAGACATAAGCAGGGAGAAGGAGGGGAACTTCGGTCAAATGCTTGCTTACATTCTACACATTCTGTACAAGAACAAGCCGTTTTCTTCAGGACGGAGATTGAGGATAGATGACAGACTTGCCAAAACTGGAAGGTTCCGGCATGGAGGAGAAGCTGGCCCTGACTTTACCTCTAAATACATTAGACACTCATCAACATAGCAAAATCCACACCCCTCCATCGTTAACACGGTACAGATCATGCCTCCCCAGCAGATGTGAGGATGGAGGAAGCACACACTCTAGGAAGACTGCACCTGTTCCCTTTGAAATCTAATCTCACTTAGTGAGTATTCATCTCCCTTCACATAAAAAAGGCTGCCTATTGTTCCTTGCAAGACCTCCTCTGGGTCTCCCTGTGCCCCAACTCTCTGGCTTGTACTCCTTTCTCTGGACTTCACTATCCAAATAATGCTCAGCCACTTTTTTGCATCTGTTCTTGCATTCTTTCTCACAATGAGACTAAGGTCCCATCTCTGGTAACACTTCCAGGTCCTAGATTTCTTTCCACCTAATAATATTTATCAAAAAACAAAAGGATAGATCTGAGGGAAACCTACAGATCTCCCCCAGAATTTGTATTTTTAAATGAATAAAACCTTGAAACCATAATGCCTGAGACAGACCCCAACTTTTAACAATATTCTTTCAGGTAACCGTTTCTCTAGTAACCAAAATAAAATGGTGAAGACTACTAACTCTCCTACAGTGTATTGTTCTCTTTTCCTTAACTAAGTAATGTCACAAGCATTAAGGTTTTGTGTGTGTGTTCAGGGTATATAAACTTCATTCAGACCTGTTATCCTCACAGGTAACTCACCTTCTCTGCCGCCTTACTAGTTGAGGATGGCCCTCCAATAGCCACATCATGTTCTGACAATCATATTCTATTTTGTAACTTGAAGACCAAAAACATTACACATATTTTTATTGCTTCGCTTTCTTCCATCTTTCCTTTCATCTTATAATAGTTTATGTTGTACGTGTACACTTTTCTACTATTACTTGTAGTGTCACCGGTAGTGTCATGAGAAATGCAATGACCTTTAGAAAAAGGTGGTAGTCACGGAACTCCAGGATCTCACCATAGTGCCTGGCCTTACAAGGATAAATGTATTTCCCAGGGGTCAAACCAGGAACATTCATAACTTAACCAGGTAATCAATGACCTCCTGAGATAAAGAACCAAGACTTTCTTCTGAGGCTACATGAACGAGGTACATGTGCAAAAGCTTCCAGTCCTCTTCCCTCATTTCCACCAGGAATACATTTCTACACACACACTGGGATTCCCCTTGATGTACAAACTGGAGCACAAGCCAGTTATTTTGATAATGACTTAGAACTAAAATCATCTTTAATCTCTTTGAATGTTTTTAAGTGAAGGGTCCCTTTTCAAACTTTACTACAAGTATCCTTATATTTCTTTTCATAAGACTAAACTCTGGAAGATATATGAACTGTATGTAAGCAATGGGGACAAAGACCTAAGATTTTCCTTCGTTAGTTTGACAGCGCTCCTTTTTTCTTAATGCAAGTTTTTCCACTGGTTGAAGAATAATCACCTTTTTTAATAAACACTCAAAGACCTCAGTTCTAGTTGAAAATAAACTTCTTCTTCTTTGATAGGAGAAGTAGCAGGGCTTGTAGGATACTACAGTGAAGCAGAAGCTTCCAAAGTGATTTGTCAATGGACAGCAGGAGGAAAGTAGGTTTCTTACTGAGTGCTTCTCAATCAATTTTGTAAGCTCGTTGAGGAAAGGGATCACGTCTGTGCACCTTTTATTCCCCATCACGAGCACTGTGCATGACTTTACACAGCCAATGAATAAATAACTGTGCAGCTTCCACATACACACCCGGAGATACAGAGATGAAATTGTCCACTTTTAGAAAGCCTGAAAAATCTACTTAGCCTTAAACAGAATCTGAGATGTTTTAGTGTAAAAGGAAGAAAAAAAGAGCACTTATAACTAGTTAAGAGGGAGACTATTTCAGAGGAAAGGATTAGGGAGAGAGAAGTTCTGCAAATTTCAAGAGACTTTTCATGTTACCTTCCTTCACGGAGAGGTCCTCCAATTTGAGGGGCAACTCTGAGGTTCCTCCAGTCGCAGCTGAGCCCTGAATGTCGGGTACAGCATTCCGGCGGCCTGCCCTTGCTGAAGATGCAAAATTGTTGACCACAGCCTCCACATCAGTCATTTTTGGTGAATCTGTCCTCATAGCAACACCTACAAAAAGAATGTGCACAGGAAGAAGAGGATGAGCCTGTTCTGAGGTAAATGTTCGCCGTGGTGGCTGAGAGGCATGGCTAGATAAAAGCAACTGGCTTGAGAACCTAATCATTGGTCACATCCTTATCCATATCTACTATTAGGTCTACTACACAATGTCCATCTGCACATTTGAACACCCCCTGAATAGAGAAGGAAGTTCTCAGTGTGAGCCAGGGTGCTATAAATAATCCCTGCGCCAAATGAGCTGCCGGGGCACTTTGGGCACATAATCTCTTCCTTCTTGTTTTGCTTTTCTATGGATGGATGAGCCGAATGAGAGCTTGGAAGGAAATAAAAACTTGTTTGGCCACACCTGTGAGGACCGCCTGCCAGTATTTGCTTGTGGAGTTTGTTCATGCTGAAAGCAAATCACTATAATTTGTAGGGACCAAACAAAAACACTCTGTTCCCACACATTAGAAACAAGAAATTCAACTTTATCTCAAAAGCTTTTTTCCTTCAGTGACAGCCATGTATTTCTGTCACTTCTAGTCTCTCAGACCTAATTCGCAATAGCCTAATCTTCATGTTTGCGAGAGTAAGACCTGTTTTACCTTTTCTTGCCTTCAAGTGGACATGGTAATTATTTGTGCTTTCCTGAGCATCCTTTTTTCCCCCTAGCAATTGTCTGTCTCTATGAAAGAATTTTCAAAAGATCATTCACTATACAGGGAGGGAGGTCGCAGACATTGCTTCTTCTAAAACGAACCCTCTTTCACAGAATGTTTTCTAATGAATCTTTCTTAGGAAAGAGTCTTCTCAAGAATAATGACATCAAGCACCCAGGAACTCTTTGTAACTACAAAATCATGTTTGATTATTAGTATCACTGTTCGCTTCTCACTAAGTTTTATTTACTCTATCACTCTCTGATGCATCTTCCTTAATCCTAACAAAAGACTTCTTCCTGCTGGAAGATCTGAATACCTAAGAGGGAAACTAGAATTTCTTTAATACTGCATGAATGTTTTCACATCTGTCATCTCACATCTCCCCCAAATCCAATGAGGTATTGAGGAACAGCCCTCACTATGTAGATGTAGACACTGGGGCTCAGGGAGGTTAAGAGACTTCTTTAAAATTGCACAGCTGCTAGTCTTGCACATAAGGATGCAAATTTCAGTTCACTTTGAGGCAAGACGACCTGGATCACCATAAAATTACCTTTTCAAATCTCTATGATACCTGTAGACAGCCACACAACATTTCACGTAGGGTAAATGTTATATATACATATGTGTGTATGTGTATGTGTTTGTGTGCGTGTGAGAGAGAGACACAGACAGAGAAGAGAGAGAGAAAGAGATCACCTGTACTTGCACAGGTGCAGGATCCTCCCTGGCTTCCTTATGAGACCCCCGACACATAAATTTCGATTAGAGATCTCTTCTCTGCAGCTTGTGAGAAATGCCTGATACCAGTTTAGAAACAGACTCCATTTGTAGACCTCCTTTCTGTCCTCTGCCAATTACCATCACAACAGAAGCCATTGCTGTTTATTTCTGTGAAGCCTCTTCCTGTTTAACTGCACATAAGTTAACCATGCCAAATTTGGAGGGGCAGCTCCATGAACACTTTTCTTACTGACCTGGTAGTCCAAACATCTTAAAATTGAAGATCACAATCTTAATGAAAATATTAACATATATAATTTTAAATATACAAATGCTATATAAGTAGGTGTAGGTAAACTGCTGCAGCAAGATGGGGTATGTGAAAGGAAAATTGAGTTAAAATTTGTATATTGAAAAAGAACTTCCAAAAGATGGCCTGTAAAGTAGAGCCTCAACATGGAAGAAGAAATTCTGGGCTCCAAGTTTATTTCAAGATTTCTTTGCTGCTGGAAGTTTCCGGAAGTTTTTGCTTTTCCTTTGTAGTATAATTTCAGGCATAGGCTTTCTAAATTAGTTCTTTTTTTGTCAGTTGGTGTTAGAAAACAAGATCAGCACAAAAGGATCTAAGAGTTTGTCAAAATTATATTTATTAGCTACCATTTTAAAATAAAAAATAAAACTGTGTATGCAGGGAGGCCAAGCAACAGGCTGCTTTACTCTGGGGCTTTAACTATTAGTCTGCTCCTTTCAGAGCCTGCCACTGCAGCTGAGTGACCAGGAGGTCTTGCGGCCTCGCAAGGTGGACAGTCACCCCAGCCCATCCCCAGTGGCTGTGGAGAGAGGGAGCTTTCTACTGTGAAAAATCATCTGATCTCCCTGACAGAATGTGTGGTGACTTAGAGATAGATGGCTGACAGAAGCATGTGAGCCCACACAGTATTTCTTAACTGGAAGGCAGCTATGCTCACTACTATACCACCAACGCAAGAGCAGTATTTCTTAACTGGGATCATTTAATTCCCTGGCAAGGAGATTTATTGCAGCATTGGAAATAATCTGAAAACCTATAAGGGAAAAAAATGGTTGAATAAACTAAATATTGTGTGACAGAACATAATACAGATATTATAAAGAATGTGTTAAATCCAGTTAGATCTGTCTGTAGAGAGGTACCCATGACATATTGTGACATAAAACAAGGTTTAAAGGTAATATTTAGAGTGTGTTGGTGGGGGGAAAGTAATGAATATAATGAGATCTCAACTTAGTAAAAATAATGAAAATCATAGTTGGAAAGTAAAAGAAAAAAATATTATTAACCATGTTTTGGTATCTCCTTGCATATTTTTAACTTGCAGTAAGTAGCACATTTTACAACACATTTCACCAGGCAGATTTATGACTACTCAGATGTTTTAGCCCAAAAATGCTCTAAAAATAACATTTTGGCAATTCAACCTTAAGTGACAGCCCCTCCCTCTCCCAAATAGTCATCTTGTCTGCATTATTGTCCTATGCAACATTGACTACATATATATATATATATATGCTTGAATTTTTTAAAGAGATGAGAATATATACATACACACACATATGTGTATTAGAATTACTCTTTTCAAGCACTTTGTAACATTTAAAAAACATATAACCTATGGAAAGATGAGGAAATGCTAAGAAAAACAAAAGAGATTAACTCCCAGTTTCTTTTAATTTTCTGGGCTTAAAAAGCTAATTATGTCTATGTTTGCTAACCAAGGTGGCTGACTCACAAACAACTCTTCCTCTTTTTCTTCTACGGAATTAGCAGAGAAATCTGGATGACTTCTGCTTTGTCAACTGTGGCTGCTTACAGGAGCTGGAACCATTTGAACATTTGGGGAGTTCAAAGAAGCCCTTCCATGCCTACAGCAAAATAATAGGATTTTCATCGCCTAGGACACACTTCCATCTCTATTGAAAATACACAATTTTCAGGATGCCTGAACAAAAGGCCAATATACAGTCACACACACACACACGCCAGCATCTTTGCAGGCTCCACAATATTGAAAATGCAGCAACCGCACAACTCTGTCCTTTGAAGGACAAAGATCTCCAAGATAAATGGAGCAGTAGAAGAATACATATTTAAAAAAAAACCACTAGTCAGTTTCCAGTAGTCCCAAAAGAGCCTGCTAGATTAATATGTAGTATGTTAATAGTATAATTATAAAGACAGCTTTTATAACCTCTTTGCCTCCCAACTGAGATGTTTCATCCTCTGAGCTCACACTCACATGTTTTTCATGCTTCCTTACTTGAAGCAAAATGCAAGCAGGTGTATGTTTATCGCAGCACTATTTACAATAGCCAAGACATGGAAGCAACCTAAGTGTCCATCAGTAGATGAATGGATAAAGAAGAGGTGGTATATATACACAATGGAATACTATTCAGCCATAAGAAGAAAACAAATCCCACCATCTGCAACAATATGGATGGAGCTAGAGAGTATTATGCTCAATGAAATAAGCCAGGTGGAGAAAGACAAGTGCAAAATGATTTCCCTCATTTGTGGAGTATAACAACAAAGCAAAACTGAAGGAACAAAACAGCAGCAGACTCACAGACTCCAAGAAGGGACTAGTGGTTACCAAAGGGGAGGGATGTGGGGGGGCAGGTGGGGAGGGAGGGAGAAGGGGATTCAGGGGCATTATGGTTGGTACACATGGTGTGGGGAGGGGGCTCACGGGGAAGACAGTGTAGCACAGAGAAGGCAAGTAGTGACTCTGTGGCATCTTACTACACTGATGGACAGTGACTTTAATGGGGTATTGGGGGGGGGGACTTGATAATAATAGGGTGAACATAGTAACCACAATGTTTTTCATGTGAAACCTTCATAAGAGTGTATATCAGTGATACCACATTAAAAAGAAATACACGGAGGTGGTTGCCTTTCTTCTAATCTCTGGATCCTTATCACTGGCCCCATCTTCTGCTATGAAACCAGTACTAATTCTACATGTAGGACTTGAAATAATCACCTTACCCACCTAAATAAGTTCTCTGGGGCTATGAGACAGCTTGAAAAAACAAATTAACAAAGGGTGAATCTGCATTTTGGGGAAGTCAATGCTTTTTCTGACTAAAAGACACAGAGACAGAGATAAACTGGGCTCAGCTGATAACCAAATGACACATCCGTCTCTCTCCAGCTTTCAATACCTTAATACCTTGTGCTAGGTATATTTAGTTCTCTGCCCACAAATCCCTTTTTGTATGACTTTCTGCTTTGGAACATGCAAACTGCTTCCAAACCAGGTGAAAGAACAATTGCCTCTTTACGTGGACCATCATCAGATAATTTACTATCCAGTTAACATTTTTTGAGCTCCTACTAAATTAGGAGGTAAGCTAAAATGAATTGTGCTAGACCCACAAGCTGCAGAGAGAAACCCACAGGCCAGTGAGCACAAACACATTCTGATCTTTTCAGTTCACTTTTGTGAACCTAAATCCCATTCTTTGGAAATAAAGTAAAAGCATCCACCTTTAAAATGGGAATCCTTGAACACATCTAAGTATCAAGACCATTTTAGGCTAAACAGAGTTTACGTGGAACGTGTACTTGCATAAATT